GGCCACCAGATGGGAAGTTAAGTCAGGATCTGCTCTACTTGGATCTCTCAGCTTCACCATTTGGGCCCAAAATGTGGTCAAAATTATGTGCCTACAGATTGAAGTTCTCCTCCAAGTTCAATGAAATTTCTGGGAAAGGGCAGTGGGGGTGGAGTGGGGGAACTGGACTGTGTGGGCAAGAGCCCCTGACTCTGGAAGGTGCGTCAATTATTCCAGAAAGGTCAAGGGTCAGGCAGGATTTTGACCCCCATGGTCTTCAGTTCCTGGTGTTACTTTCATGGTTATGTTACATTATATGGTAAAAGGAACTTCCAGATATAATTAAGGTTACTCTTCTGCTGACTTAAGAGAGGGAGATTATCCTGGTCATCTGGGTGGTTTCAAGGAAATTACATGAGCCCTTAAAAGCAGAAGGGGAATTCACAGAGATGTGAAGAATAACGATTTGATGTGCTACTGCCTTGAAGATGGAGGAAGCCACATAAGAAAAAACGCAAGTGGTCCAAGGAGCAGAGCACAAACCCTGGCCAACAGCTGGCAAGGGCACAGGTACCTTTGTCCTACAACCCCAAAGAACTGAATTCTGCCAACAGCCCGAATGAGCCTGGAGCAGATTCTTCCCTAGTCTCCAGATGAGAAAGAATCCAGGCTGGTCAATATTTTGATTTTAGCCCACTTAGACCGTAACCAGAGAATCCAGCCATACCATGCTGAATTTATAATCTACCAAAACTGTGTGATAATTTCTTGTTTTAATTTGCTATGTTTGTGGTAGTTTGTTATATAGTAATAAAAACTGATAAACAGTGACAAATGCTTCACCTGTCTTATGACGTTTGAGCTAATTCCTATCATCACCCCATTTTATAGATGAGAAAACTGAGTCCTCAAAGATTAGGTACTAACCTGCCTAAAGTCACACAGCTGGCAGGAATCACATCATGGCTGTCTGACTCCAGGTCTCTTCTCTGTGCTAGGATTTCTCAAACTTAGCACTTGACATTTTGGGTTGGATAATTCTTTGCCATGGAAGGATGTCTTGTGCCTTTAAGATGTTTAATAGTATCCCTGACCTTGACCTTGTATGATGCCAGTAGCACCTCCCCCCCACCATCGTGACAATTCATACTGTTTCTACACATTGCCAAATGTTCCCTAGGGACAAAATTGTCACCATTGACAACCACTGTCCTTTACTTTAAGCTTTACTGTTTCCCTGGACCTTAGAAGAAAATGCCTATTTATGGGCCTGGGAATAAACTGGAACTTTATTTTACATCTTTAGAAGTGCCAACATCAGCCTGAGTTCTTCTAGGGGCATTGCAGAGGCTCCCCTGATCTGTGTCAAGCCAGGAAATGTGAAAAAATGAGGTCAGAGTGGGATAGAGTGGAGGCCATGGTTAGAGTGGGTCAGAACACAATCCTCCAAGATTGCAAGTCTCTGGAAGGGAAGGTAGTGCTTAGTTCATGGTTGTGTTCCCAGATCCACTTGGGGCTTATCCATGGATGGAACCAACTTCCGGAAAATGCCTCTTGAATCAAATGTGAGTTCGCTTCCTTCTTTGAAGACCATGCCACTTGGATGCTGTGGTGCGCCCGACTGACCTTTTTAGAGATGTCCTATAGTTCCCCAAGCTGCTAAATATAGCTTAGAATTGGTCTTTCACTGAGAATTGCCTTTGGTAGCAGCAGTTGACTTGCCTAAGACTATGCCCCCTTCTAGGGAATGCCCCTTGCCAATAACTGGTCAATATGGGGTCACAAAAACCTGGTCCCTTTATCTTCAGTTGGGGTAACTCTGAAGGGCCTTTACTGCTTCCGAATTTCCTGAAGGACTGACTGAGGCCTCTGCTGCAAGCATCAAAGTGATGATATTCAGCAGTCTGCTCACCTTTTAGCAGAAAGAATTGAAAAGACACCATTAACAGCCTCCATCAGAATCTATTTTCTTAGCAATTGCCCTGCGTGTTGATGAACAATGATGAACATATGCAAAGGAGTACTTTATGATCCCTTTCTAGTCTTTTTTCTTGTTTTCCCTTAAACATAAAAATTAGCTGCTAAGTGAAAGACAAACATCATTGAATTTCTGTTCTGAAGCCAAAACAAAACAAAATGCCATCTTGGTTCTCTATCTTCTTTATTTCTAAGGTTGGTAGTAGATTTTGGTGGTTTCTTTGGCCAAAAAACTACCTATACAGATCCAGCCCTGAGAGTCTGTGGCAACTGAGACCATTCTGCGCTTGTGTGCATGGTTCCCTGGGCTTTGGATTCCCCTTCATAAGCCTGCAGACAGCGAGAGACCAGGAAGTGGTGCAGACACAGGGAGGAGAGGGAAGCTGGAGCTGCTAGCATGGTTAAAGTTGGTAGTTCCAGGAGAGAGCACATTGCACAGAATAATAAAACAACTTACTCGTAAGGTCTTGGTTTATAAAGCAAAACTTGTAACATCTATGCAATAGAGAAAATCCTGGATTATATCACACTGTGCCCCTTAAACATGTATGATTAGTATGTGTCAATTATAAACAAACAAACGAACAAAAAGCCTGGATCAATCTGGTCCTTCCCCTTTCATTTCCATACTTCTATTTACTTTTCTCTTTGTGCTCTGTTTGAATGTGCTTGGAAATCCAAAAATTAGGGTATCCCAACACTAGACATATTTGCCATTTTGTTTAAGGTCTGTAAACCCGTAGAGCAGAATCTTTATATTGCTTCTCTTGCACTGTTCATAGACAACAATTTTTGTTTAAGAATAGTTGTCACCATATTTTCTATCAACAGATGCCAACATTAGAAAACTACACCAACATCATGAAGGAAAGACCCAGGCCTTAATCTAATATTTTGGAACAAGGTAGTCATCAAGAGTAGTTTTTTTTTTCTTTTTGCAAAGAATTATGAGATTTTTGTACTTTATTTCTTTTCCTAGAATGAGTTTATTATTGACAACATCTCTGACATTTAACCTTGATGACAAGACAGAGAACACGTATAGGAGACTTATGATCTTATTTAGTTTCCCTGCTATTTTCTGTTGGCCTTCATAGCCTTCTCTGACAGGTAGAATCAATTGGACACCAGGACTCCTATAATGCATAATGAAGGCAGAACTGATGTCCCTTTTAGTAATCATAGACAATATCTGGAGAGAAACACAAATGACTATAATTCTTCCTTATTACTCAACCCACCTCATTTTCTCCTCTTTTGAAAACATCACTCTACACTTCAAGGATCAGCATTTCAGAGATCATTTCAGAAATGGCCAAAATGAAAAATCTCATCCTTGAGGTCTCAAATAGTCTCTCTGACCCAAATAATGTCTCTTTAGTTTCATTGTTTCTCAGTTCTCTTTTCCAACACCAGCCTTTTAAGCATCTCTTTCCTTCTGTCCCCCCAGTTTCTTTTGTGTTTCTTTCTGAGTGATCTTGGGGCAATGCCTTTAATCATGGAAGAAGAAAAACCAATGGGACTCTTAAACAAATACATAAATAAAAGGGAAACGATTAACCATAATGGGCCAGATCATGGGGCAGGGTTGAAGTGTGGGAAAAACCAGTGTCATAGTGCACCAGAGTGGTCTTTGTCTACTGGTGCCCACCTTGGGTTCATAGATGAGACAGGCAAGATCTCTGTCCATATGGCTGCCCAAAGGTATCCCCAGGCAATATATTGGTATAGCCAGGGCCCAGGATGTTATCACACAGAAAAGAGAGCTTCTCCCTTAGGTGGGGTGCCAGCTTCTACAACAGACACTGCAAGAATGCTTGGCATTGGCTGGCAGCACAGGCAGCTTCATTCTTACTATAAAGACAAATATAATTTCTCAGAGCAGAATGTACAAATCCCTGGGTTGAGTAGTTAAAGAAAAATGGGCTGTGGCCATTAGATGGTGATCTTCTGGGGAAGCTGCTTCATCTGCATCCCTAATTAAAGCCTAAATTAAAATTGGGGAAGTGTTCACATGAAAATCCCCACAAGAATGAGTTTCCAGATTCCATCAGTTCAAAAGGAGTCTCGTGAAAATCTCTCACTCAAATGTCTGACCCACTTTTCATCAGCTCTTCCCCAAGAATCTTGGGAAAGAGGTTATGCTGCCTTCAATGCATAGAGAGCAACTTGCCTGGTTTATTACTTTCTCTCTTGGTGAGTTGCATAAGAGAAATCATCCCAATTGGTTGAGTGTGTAGGTACATAAGGATGGTGGAAGATTGGAAAAGGGAAGATTCAGTGATGACCCAAGCTCCTATTCTTAAAAGCAGGGAATAGGAACCCTGGAAGAGGAGCTGCTTTGTGGCTAAGATTATATGTTTGGTTGGAGGAAAGTTGAATTTGAGCTGTCAGGGAGAGCAGGAAATAGGACGTGGAACCCAAGAGTGAGGTAAGGATGGAGATAAAAAATGTGGGTCACGAGCCTCAAGAAGACAGTTGAGGCATGGGGGCAAATTAGGTCAGTGCAAGAAAATACAGGGTGAGAAGAAAAGCTGAGATGATCATGGCCACAAACATGCATGGACACTGAGAAGCCTGCTGCCTGTCGTGAGCTGGTCACTTACTGGTCCACTCATTCTTCCATTCACAGTATGGGGCATGACACCCTCCTTGGAGAGTGTGGATTCATCAATAGAAACCTTTCATAAAATGACCTTAAACTGCTTGGTGTCTTCCCATCCATCACAGGCCAGGACATGTTCCCAAGCAAACCAAAGTCCTCAGGAGACAGTCCCACAATAACTCAGGAGAAGACAACCAGTAAAAGGGTAGTATCCCTGTTTTCTTCTCTCCCAACCCTATAAAGGGGCCTAGGATTGTTTATTATGCACAAGACAAAGGAGCAGATTGTCCCTAGTGCCATTCTGCAAAGGGTCCCTCTGGCCTATCATAACACACTAAGTGCCTTTACTTCAAAATCCCCTGCCGGCCCCCACCATACCCTCCTCTGGGCTTGGTTGTAGCAGCAGAGGTTGGGAGACAGGTTTCCAGGGAAAACTCACCCGGGGGTCTCTCTCCAGCTGCTGCTTGTGGTGTAGGCTGCGTCTTCTCTTGGCCTTTGCCAGGCCATTGTGATAAAAGTGGTAAAGACCTTCAGTGAAGGGGAGCTGTGGGGAGTCAAAGAGACACAAAGCATGATTAGCTTCTGAGGCTGGCCCAGGGACAGGGACAACAGGGCTGGGGCTGCATGCAGGAGCTCCATGGGGAGGGGTTCCTATCGGAGCTGGCCCTCTACTTTGCTGTCACTGTGTTCCTTCCCTTCCTGCCTTTGCTTATGTGGTGCCCATCCCCTCCTGCTCCCCAAATACATTCTATTCTTTCCCCCATTTCTTTAGTTTCTACGCATTCTTGAATTGCCTCCCCACTTCTGTGGAGGCTTGTCTTTACGTTCATACCCTCGTCAAATTCTCCACTCTCCACTCTTGGACTAGTGTTTCTACTCCATGTGCCATCCGGTGGCTCCAGAATTAGGTTGTGACCTAGTCATATATTCCCAGATGGATTGTCTGTCCTGTGTCTTGGGCTTTCTCTATGACCCCTTGGTGGCTCTTATCAGACTGAGTACAGTATGACCACCTAAATTTGCAAAGTCCCCATGGGACGACAGGCCAGGTTTTCCTTCATCTTTCTATCCCAAGGATCCTTGGAATCAGGTATGAATGTCAGAGCCAGTTAGAGAAGCCACAACGAGAGCTTGTCTTTGGCAGAGGGCCCATAAAAATATTGGAGAACCTAAAGAAGACTGCCATTTGTTCTGTGATTTAAGGTAGCTTGGTGGGAAGAGCCTTGACCTGGGAGTTGAGTGACCTGGATGTGACTCATGTCTATTATCAGTGTGCCTTGGGCAAATCATTTCCCCTCTGAGCCTCTTTTTTTCTTCTGATATATCCACATGTACAGCTTCAAAACTCTCAGATTTCTACCCTTTCTCCACGTCTTCATATTAATGGAGATGTGTTCTTTGTAGTTCTTAACTGGATTAATGAATTTAATCATATGCTTGAAAATTATAGATAAAACAATGTATATATATACATTTTGGTGGAAATAGAACAAATGATTTTAATCATATTCTCAAAGGGGTCCCCAAACCAAAAAAAAAAAAAAAAAAAAAAAATTCACTACTCAAAATATTTGCTGTTGGATTTTTTTTTTCTTGGCTTTTTTCACTTGGCATTTATTTTCACAATCATCTCCATTGTTGCATGTATCAATAATTTATTCTTTTTTGTTGCTCAATAGTATCCCATTGCATGGATATGCCACCATTTGTTTATCTTTCACCCGTTGATGGACATGTGCCTTATTTACAGTTTTTTTACTATTGCAAATAGTTTTTTCTTTTAATTTTGTAATTTATTTTATTTATTGAATCAAAATTGATTATGCATATTTTTGGGGTTCAGCACTGAGATATGTTGATCAAATCAATATTAGTAGCATACATATTGTTACAAATCGTATTATTCTTTATGCCCCTTGTCCAATCTCTCCCCATCCCCCACTCCCTCCACCCCCCCCCCCGAATTACCCTAGATTTCTTCTCTCCCTCTGAAAGAATAATGGTTACTCTGTTAATTTGTTGCCTAGATGATCTGTCCAATGCTGAGAGGTGTGATCAGGTCCCCCAATATTATCATAGAGCAGATGCTTCTTCTGTCACTCTGAAATGGGCTTTGTGGAGAGAGACATCCTCTTCTTTTCTTTATATCTGCTGGTGACTGTCCTTGTGTCAATGTACTTCAGAGGTTGGTGGACCATCTGCGTGGTGGTTGTGGCATCTAGCTGTTTTCACAGCAGCCAAGGTTATTGTGGTGGCTGTGGTGGGCCACCCACGTGGAGGTGATGCTTTTGGCATGCTTCTTGGTGCTGGTGGTGTGCCTCGTTGTGGGGGTGTGTCTGGTCCCCTTCTCCATGCCTCTGGTCCCCAGGCTGGCCCCAAGGCACTGGTGCAGTGTGCCTGGTTGTGGGAGGGGGTCCAGTCCCCTTCTCCATGCCTTGGGACCCACCTTGGGATGGGCCCCGAGGTGCTGGTGTGGTCTGCCTGGTTGTGGAAGGGTGGTCCAGTCCCCGGATCCATAACTTTGGTCCCTGGGCAGGCCCTGAGGAGCAGGCAGGGTGTGCCTGGTTGTGGGAGGGGGGTCTGGTCCCCTTCTCCAGGCCCCAGGTCCCTGGGCAGGCCCTGAAGTGCTGGTACAGTGTGCCTGGCTGTGGGAGGGGGGATCCAGTCCCCTTCTCCATGCCCTGGGTCTCCAGGCTGGCCCTGATGAGCTGGTGCCTGGTTGTGGGAGGGCCATTCAGTTCCCTTCTCCATGACTCGTGACCCTGGGTGGGCCCTGAGGTGCTGGTACAGTGTGCCTGGTTGTTGGAGGGGGGTCTGGTCCCCAACTCCATGCCCTGGGCCTCTAGGCAGGGCCCCGAGTCCCTGGCAGTTTGCCTGGATATAGGAGTGGGCCAGTCACCTTCTCAATGCCTTGAGAATCTGGGCAGTCCCCAAGGCCCTGGTGTGGTGTGTCTGGTCATGGGAGAGGGGTCCAGTCCCCTTCTCCATGCCTCAGGTCCCCAGGTGTGCCCCGAGGCACTGGCATGTTGTGCCTGGTTGTGGGAAGGGGGTCTGTTCCCCTTCCCCATGCCTCTGGTCCCCGGACGGGCCCCAAAGGACTGGTGTGGTGTGCCTGGATGTGGGAGTGAGGTCCATCCCCGGCTCCAAGCCTCCAGTTCCCAGGCAAGCCCCAAGGTGCTGGTGGTGTGCCTGGGCTGGAACTAATTTTTTGTCCTTTGCTAACTTCTAAAATAGGGGAACTTCCTGTGGGAACCAGTACTTGAGCTGTGTGATTGAGTTAAATTGCTGCTTTGCTGCTGTTTCCCTAGGGAAGGATTTTTGTGCAGCTCAGGGCTTAATTGTTGACCTTATAGGTATTTCTGGCTCTCCAGAGACCTGGTGGATCTGTGTTGTGTAGACACTCTGATCTGGGCCTGAGTTTTTTCATCAAACTGTACCCCATGCAATTCTGCACTCCCGACCAGTCTCTTCTGAGTGGTCCTGCACTGATATGGGGGTGGGTTGGCTGTCCTTGCTGTGTCCCAGTGTACTCCTGGTGGGCCGGGCTCCTCCACCATCTGTGCTCCAAACACTTCCCATGGGATGTGCCCTGTGCAGGTCCCTTGCAATGACTCACCGGCCACTGAATGGCTCCCCTTTTTTCAGTTGTTCTGGCTCTTCACTCCTGCGTGGGTCCATAAGAACCCTATTATGGTCTTGCTGTTCTGGGGGCCACCAAGGCCCTCTTCTCGCCTGCCACCTCCAAATAACTCCACGTGAAGGGCATAGCTGTGGCTTCTGCCGGCTCCTGTTCCATGTGCTCATCAGCTCTAGCCTTAAAGCAGTCGCAGCCCAAAACCCTCAGAGCAGTTTTTTCTTTCTCTCATCGTAGTTTCTCCCACCTTCATGAACTCTGTAGATCTCTCCTCCTCTTCCCCTGAGCTCCAGTGGCCCCAGCTTGGCTGATGTTACATTTTTATATTTGTAAATTGGTTGATTTGTGGGAGAGAGTGATGCCGGGGACCGTCTATTCCACCATCTTGATCGGAACTCTCTGCTGTTGAAACTTTTGGCGTGTGCTCTCTCCCAGTGTTTGAAAGAAAAGAGAAGGGGATGTGAATGCTTTGAAAGTAAGGTTTTCCAACATAAGTGGGGTCAATTTGAGATTTTTAGAACAAGTAGAGCCTCAGTGTGGCTCAAATATTTCTTAAATAACATTTATTATTATTATGTTTTAATATAAGAGAAATATAGAAAAATTGGAAAACAGAGAAAGACACAAACAACAAAATAAAAATTCTCCACATTTCCTTTTTTGGTAGTATGGGATTTAGAAGGTCATCTCTTTATGTTGTAGGCCTACCTCTCTCTCAAGAACAAATTACTATTTCCTTAATATTAAAATGAGTTAGACAAAAGGTCATTGTACTAGCTGTATAGTATTCTACTACATAAGATATACCATGATTTGTTTAGCCTTTTCATTACTGATATATATATATGTATATATATATAAAAAGATGTTTCCATATTTTTCTTACATTAAAAGAAAATGTTGTATGTTGGGGTGGGGGGAACTTCAGGAATGACAGAGTAAGAACCTCCAAAAATCCACTCTTACGTAAAAACAACTAGAACACTGTAAAAACTGCCAAATCAACATTTTCAGAACTCTGGAAATTAACAAAAGGCTTGCAGCAACCCGAGGAGAATTTATTCAAGAAAAATAGTAGAATCTAAGCAATAACAGCAAGATTTGTGGTGTTTAAAATGCCCTATTTCCATCCACATCTCCCCAGCTCTGAACTGGTGTTTACAGTATCTTTGAAAACCAACAAGCTTTCAATTACAGTGACTATAAAAACCAGTAGCTTAATAGACACTAGATGGTGCAGACTGGGTTTGGAATTGTTAAGAAAGCCCTACCCCCAGATAATTGTCTGGAAACTACCTGGAAAGGTTTCATTTATAAGGCTTATTGTTATTTGCTCTGACCCAGAGTTTGCTCAGTGGGAAAAGTCTTATCTTCAGGGTGTTTGTAAAAAACAATCAGTGGGAATGGTTTAACATTGCAGCTTCCTGAGGCAGCAATAACCATTGGGGCAAACAAGAGGCTGGCCATAAAGCTTAAAAGAAAGATCTGAGAAATGAGATGTTCACAGAGGGCTTTTCAAAGCTCTAACATATTCCTAGAGACTTGGAAACACACACACACACACACACACACACACGTGCATATAACTGGGAAATATCTAAGAAGGCCCTAAATGCTCACCTTTGGTTGACTTGGAGGCTCTATGAAAACAGAAAGTAAAAGCCAAAGCAGGGTTGTAAACAGCCTACCTGAACATCAAAACCATGACCCAATATACACACAAAGGGAAAAACCCCCAAAATCAGAAAACTAAAACAAAAAACAAACAAAAAAAACTTTATCAATTCGAGGTCATTACAAAAATCTCTATCCAGTTATTAAATGACCACTAGGCTAGCCAAGCAAAGATTCAATGGTACATTATAGGAATTACAGACTTTACATAATTAGTCCAGGAAAGACATTAAACA